ACAAGAGAAGAAGGAGGCGTTCTACAGACAACTACAAGCAATAATGGACAACGTCCCAAATGGCGATATCAAAATCCTGATGGGCGACATGAATGCGAAGCTGGGAGGAGACAACACAGGAAGAGAACTCACCATGGGTCGTGAGGCCCCCGGTGAAATGAACGACAATGGTGAACTCTTCTCAGACTTCTGCGCCTTCAATGATTTGGTGATTGGCGGTAGTGTGTTCAAACACAAGGATATACACAAGACGACATGGATTTCACCAGATGGAAACACCAAGAATCAAATAGACTTCATCTCAATTTCAAGAAAGTGGAGACGGAGCCTACTGGACACAAGGTCGAGGAGAGGAGCAGATGTGGGTTCAGACCACTATCTAGTAGAAGGGACTTTCAAGGTGAAACTAAAAGCCTCGAGGATAGCTGAGGATAGGCCACAATGCAAGTTCAACACTCAGAAACTGAAGGACACAACCACAAAAGACACTTCACTGCAACTGTCAGAGCAAAGCAGGAAACACTACGCGACATCACTGAAGAATCATGCGTGGAAGAACATTGGAAGTCTCTGAAGGCGATTCTCAACGAAACGTGTTCAACGGTTCTAGGAAGAAAGAAGAGACAAGACAAGGAATGGCTCTCAACGGACACTTGGAAATTAATAGGAAAGAGGAGAATGGTGAAAGAGAAAATGATTCAATGCAAGGACGGACAGGAGAAAGAGACGATGAGCTCAACTTACAAAGCACTGGACAAAGAAGTGAAGAAGAGTGCTAGGAAGGACAAAAGACGATTCTACGACAACCTCGCCACTGAAGCTGAGAAGGCAGCAGGCAAAAGGGACCTGAGGACATTATATCAGATAACCAAATCTCTATCCGGAAAGAGATCAACACAAGCGAAACCTATAAAAGACAGCCAAGGGAACCCAATTACCAAGGAAGAAAAACAGATTAAACAATGGGCGGATCACTTCAAAGGACTCTTGAACCGACCACCACCTGCAACCCGTCCAGAAATACCAACAACAGCACGTACACAACTGCAAGTTGACACCAATCCTCCAACGAGAGCTGAAGTCTTGAATATAATCAAGCTTCTGAAAGCTGGAAAAGCAGCTGGACCAGATGGAATACCCTCTGAAGCACTGAAAGCGGACCCAGAGACGACAGCAGACATGCTGACTCCATTATTGCAAAAGGTCTGGAAGGAGGGAAAGGTGCCTACTGACTGGAGGAAAGGTTACCTCGTGAAACTACCAAAGAAGGGAGACTTAGGCCTCATTCTGCAAGAACTGGCGAGGAATCATGCTCCTGTCGACGCCAAGTAAAATCCTGAGTCGCATCATCCTGGAGAGAATTAAGGACGCACTGGAGACAGAACTCCGACCAGAGCAAGCTGGATTCAGGAAAGGCAAATCATGTTCCAACCAGATTGCAACTCTACGCATCATCATCACAGAACAAAGCATGGAATGGCAATCAAACCTCTACCTCAACTTTATAGACTTTGAGAAGGCCTTCGACAGCGTTGACCGCGAAGTAATTTGGAAACTACTCGAGTGCTACGGCGTACCCCAAATATTCATCAACCTTATTCAACAGCTGTATGACAACGGCACATGTCAAGTGATCCACAGCGGAAAACTCAGCGAGGCGTTTGGAGTAAACACAGGAGTCAGATAAGGGTGCTTATTATTCACCAATGATATTCCTAATTGTGGTGGACTGGATTATGCGTCAGACAGAGAGTGGGAAACGAGAAGGCAGGAATATCCTGGACCGACGCGAAGAACCTAGAAGACCTAGATTTCGCGCGATGAGGATTTATGTTTGATGTCACACAAAATAGAAGACTTACAGGCGGAAACCGACAAACTGGTCGAAGAAGCAGCCGGCGAAGACAGGACTCCAAGTGAACATAGACAAGACGGAGGTGATGAAAATAACAAACCAACAACAACAGCAGCAGCAACATCCAGCGTCAATCACCATCAACGGGAGGGATTTTAAAGAGGTCACTTCATTCACTTATCTAGGGAGCATTGTCCCAACTACAGGCAGTCGGAACGGACGAGGATGTCAAATCGAGCGAGAATCGGGAAGGCGAGTGAGAAACACATTCATCAACCTGAAATCAATCTGGAAATCTTCGTCACTCAGCCAGCATCAACAACAAAATTCGGATTTTCAATACAAACATGAAGTCAGTCAGTTTCTCTATACGGATCAGAAACTTGGCAGGCGGGTCACAAAGAATATTTCCAACAGCCTGTTGCAGACATTTATTAACAACTGTCTTCGCTGACTCTATACCGAAGATCAGATGGCCGGGTCGGAAAGAATCACTAACAAGGAAAACGGGGACAATTTAGTTTGACCAAATGGACTAATACCAACCCAGAACTAATAAAGTGCATTATGGTAGAGCACTGTGAAGAAAGGAACATGAATATCCTTCCTTCTGAAGGAAAAATGAGAGGGCATTGAGAGAAGGTTGGAATGTGTCAAAGGACAGTATTAGTTTTCAAACACGCTGTCTTAACTCTTAGCTAATGAGGACCCTTTTACCATATTTAGCTTTGGCATTTACCCCTGTCTCGAATAGAGCGTCAGTCGTGTTGCTTGGCAAGCTACTTCTTTAAGACACTCATCAAAAGAGATTAGAGAGGGTCTCATACCAGCCCGAGGACTGTCCTGCTATCTAAAATTGATGGTTTGCGAACATGCAACACCCGAACGAGATTCGTATTCCACGATCGATAACGCCTTCTTACAAGGCGTCTACAGTTCAGTTTCATTTTTTCGATTCTTCAGAATTCGCACGCGATGCTATCGCATATGATCTTTTTTCTATGGAACAGGCTTGCAGTATTCCATGAGTTATCTACTCCATATCACTGGAAACACAGCGGAATCCAACAGAACCCCGCGAATTACGCCTTATTCGGGCGGTATTCAGATCAAGTGGCCTTGACCGGAATTACTGCAGGATAGAAAAGAGGATCGCTGTATATCAAGTGGAGGTGAAATTGTTATTAAGAGTTTATGTTAATGTAGGAAGACGCTGAATCTTCTCGACAAAACTTGTCAGCTGCTGAATGGATTCATGGCCCCCAATTCTCGGTCACTGGTGCTAAGAATTTCTGCCTTTTGTCGATATTATACATGCAGTATAAAGATGCGAGTGGACGAAAAACTGCTGTCTATGAACAAGCTGTCTCTAAAGGATACTGGTGAAGCAAAGCTGCAGATACTTAAACTGGTAACGTTTCCCGTCGAGTTGAAAGAGTTGGGGCTCAGCGAAATTGTGAAAATAGTACGGGTAGTCATGATAAAATAAGGGTTGACATGAACAGCCAGTAATTGCATTGCCAACGCAGTCATGAGAAGAGGTGTTATTCACAGAACTTGGATAGAGAGATTCAGAGATCTCAACCAATGCTATCTCTGGAGGAGACTTCGCACCGCACCACGTTTTCAGATAGTAGCTCAGCTACCAGAGTATCGATTAGATGCTCACTATTCACTTCTGTTGGTAGTGACTATTTCGAACAATTTAATGCAGAGAAAGGGAGGGTGACTGAGAAGCGTTATGACTGTTGTCTAACGTACTTTTCTGTAAGAGAGATTCACATATCAGTGACACACACCTTAGATAAAGACTGCTTTCCGCATACATCTTACAGGTTTCCTGCAAGATGAGGATGTCTGGGGCACATATCTAGTGATAACGACTCACATCTCAAGGGGTTCGTTTTGGTAGGAGAACCAGAATACGGCGGCAGATGACCTTCTCAAAACAGGATGTGCATAGCACTGACAGCTAGCCAATGAAATTTAAGGGCATAACATTGGATATGTCAGAGGGATCTTGTGGACACTATTTTTTTGAACAGGAGAGAAACATGGAGCTGAATTAGCCGTACGAATTTGCTGTAAAGAATATGTTTTCTCACAAAATAAATCATTTTCCTACTGATCACAGCGTTTTAGTTACCTCAGAACACGTCTTTGAATTCCTGAGATGACGTCATGGCTCCTAACTCTTAAGAAACTGCTGGGTCACCTCATGTGAGACGATGTAAAACGGTTCAAAAGATGAAGGACGTTTGCAGTTACGCGAGATATTCTTTGTTCAAATGCAAGTGTCTGTACTCGAGCTTCCAAAGCACTTGTTTTACGTAGACCACAGGCAAATCAAAACGAAAAACTGATGGTTCAAAATACATATCAAGATCAGAAATGAAGGATGGTTTCTGCTGCTTGGCTGGGGTGCGTACACGAAACACCAAGCGTAACAAGATAGCGTGCCATATAATAAAGATTCTTGACCGCGTTCCTCTAGCTTAGCCAGGTAAATTCCACGGAGAAGTTCAGCACCCAATGTTGAATGACGAATTCCAGAACTTATAAATTCTCGGAATTATTTGCGACTTCAGTCAGTATGTGATAATAAGCTAAAGCATGAACTTGTATTGGCATGAAATCCTTAAAAAAGGGAAGGACCTGCTAAGTTACATGGTAATAATACAAGTAAACAAAAATTTTTCCTTTAAGCTAAAATATGAACTGGTTAATTGTCAAATTCTTCAACAAACACAATATGGTTGCTCCTGCAACAATAAGTAGAGTTATATGGACATAATGGAGAGATGCAACCAGTTCCGCTTCTTTAAAGCCACGAAAAAATCATCAATATCACGAAGGAAGAGTTAAAAGACTAATGAATTCATTCATGCCCCTTACAAATTATATTGAGTCTATTGGTTCCGCGCGTACTATGAACACATGAGGTTCGCTGCTTACATTTTTTCTACATACTCTATGCCATGACTTCGGTGGATCCTAAGGTGCTACATAATAACGAAGCTGTCCACAGTTGTTTGTCAAAAATACCTAGTAAGTCATTACCTCAAACCACCTTTATGAAAATGTTAATGACATACTAATGTTCATCTCCTCTTTTTTATTACATGATTACTTAGGGACCCAGTTCTATGTCTAACGAATGGAATAACAGGTCAGTTTTATGTCTTATTCTATTCAGATAATATGTAAACCAGTTCATGTTATTTATATCTGTACTTACTAGAAAAATTTGATTTCATATGAATTCTAAAAGAAGCAAAATAGAGTCATCAGAAACTCCAGCAGTTGACCGTCATACTACTGCAGATGATGACAAAGGTAAAGATAATTAGTGGCTGGTTTGAATTATGTTCTTAACCAGGTTCGGGTATGGTTCGTCCACCCTTACCCAGCCGGGACGCCACTTCAGAATCATTTTCAAGACCTAGTCAATTTGATGAATTACACGAAAAGGGCAAGCTTGATAATTGTTTTTGTTTAGTTCACCTGTTGTGTTGGCAATTTGTTATGAAAATTTTGTGAGTTTGATGTGATGTGAAGTTCAAAGATTTCGCGATACTCAGAAATATCGCAAAATACATATTGACAAGCTTAGCTTAGCTTGCCAGTACGTCTTGTTCAAGGTGTAAGAAATTTCCGTGATATGATTCAGGTTCAGATAATAAGGATAGTATTTCCTTGTTGCCTATGTTAATCTTTGCAATATATGTCCCTTTAGAGATCTAATTTCTCTTTGAAAGAGTTCACCGATGGTGCTGATATCACGGAATCGGATAAGGCGTCCTGGTTGTTGATCACTGAGAAAATCTAGATTCCACATGTATTTTATTCGTCGGTTTGAGCACCTTTTTGATCACCTCGCAAATGTATCCTAGAGGGATAGAAAAGACTAGAAGAGCCAATTCCTAAATCATTCTTTAATATACGGTGTGCCAAAACTGAGTCGCTTCTCCTTCTATATGATAATGGGAAGAGATTGAAGTGCTCCACCCCCTTCTCATAAGGAAGGTGGGAGATACCACCGAGTGATTGGGTTCCTACTCTCTGTACTATTTCCTAGATATGTGCTTCCATTTTGAAGCATGGGACCACCGCTTGTATGCAGTATTCTAGAAGAGGCCTGACATGTTGCATAGAGTGCTTGTATCATAGACTCGTCTGGTCGTTTGAAAGCCATTCGAAGTGCCTAATACATCCGAAAAACCTAAGCTGCAGCTGCATTACAACCTACAATTGTTTTCAAATCATAGCTGACAGTAGTTCCTAAGTCCTTTTGCCCCTTAACAGCGAGCACTTGTGTGCCTTCCAGTGAGTGCGACGTGTTGGACCTCTCACCTAAGTGCATTGCCGGGCCTTTTTTGGAATTAATTTCCAGACTCCAAAGGTTCGAACATTCAGTCAATTTATCTAGGTCACTTTGTGATACCAACCTATCATTGTTAATAAGAACACAAGTCAGCGAAGAAATCTCTTTTCGTAAATCCACTTGAAAGTTCCACATTTGCTTCGGGTTTATGTATACATTGTTGGCTAACAATAAAAATCAGGAGTAACTGTCAGTTAGTGACAACATAAATGGTCACTAACATTTTACGTATAAATCCTGACTGACTGGATTCAACATAGAACTTTGCATCGATGTGCAGCAGTTCGAGTCGCCACACTTCACTCAGCACACAAAGCCAGAGAAGAAAGTAAAAAAGAAACGCAAAATAGAGACAGTAAACACAGATATGTGGCAAAAGAATAGTAATATCAAAGAGAAATATAGTTTCATTGGGTATTATAAGTCACAAAGAGTGGATGCATCTGCGCCATTGAGGACCATTTTGAGCCGTATCACCGATTGTCTCCAGCCATTAGTGTTGACCGTCCCGAGGACCCCAACCGAGAAGTCTACACCCTACTTGGCTGGCTTAAATTAACATCACACAAGTAACTAGTGTGATGCGTCTAGTCCTCTGATTAGTGTAGACTGAATTCTATCAGTCAGGTTGTCGTGTGGCCACCATTTTAGGTAGCTCGCCATCACGGTGCACTTTGATTTGATGATATTAGATGGTTGGAGGCAATCGGCAGGAAGCCTTGGACCTAGGTTTCGTGCTAGTTGGCACTCGTCAGCAAAGCGTATCTGACTGGTAGAATTCAGCCTGCAAAAAAAGAGAGGACTGAACACATCACACTAGTTACTAGTGTCAAATCAAAATATCCACTACAGTCCTACAGGAGGTAAATCACGAGCTCGAATAGCTCAGTGGTAACGTCTCTGAGCAGCACTGGGTGTCGCGGGTTCGAATCTCAGAAGGGACATGACTTCCTTCAAGGTTGCAGATACGCCTTGCTGACGAGTGCCAAGTGGCACGAAATCTGGGTCCAAGGCCTCCTACTGATTGCCTCCAACCATCTAATATCATCAAAGTCTCATGGTGTTAAACTAATATTTACTGTTGACGTTTCTTAATAAAGGAGGAATTAGGATGGCATTCAAACCTACAAACTGACTCAAAGACAAGCTCTTTAGGCCAAAGGACCTGGTGGACCCAATTAAACCAAATAACATAATTTACAAAATACCTTGCAGTGGCTGTGAAGTCAACTACTTAGGTCAAACTAATAGATCAGAAGTAGTGAGATTATCAAAACATAAGAATTTAGCTAAGGTAAGAATGATTGATCCTGAGAAGATAAGTAATTTAGAAAAAACTCAGTAATCACACTGCATGCATTAACACACAACCACACAATAGGGTGTATGGGACAGGGTTAAAATTCTGAGAAGTAATATAGGTAGGTGGAGACGGAGAGAGGTTGATTACTGAATCCTTGTTCATCGAATAATCTACACCCAACACCTGCAATAGGATTGACTCATCACTCATACCGGAATTATGGAAAATACTATCACCAATCAAGTCAAATGATGAGAAATAATAGAATTATATAAACGAAGTTAGAAAGTTGTGTGAAGAGTGCCTTGATATGATTATGAGTTGAAATAAATTGTGCTCAAAACGCGGTCATCAGTAAACATTACTGTATAACGCTGTGAGACTTTATCAAAACAGAATTTACCCATAATGGAATTACACTCTACCACAGTGCACAAATTCTGTTCTTATATCAAAGATAATTGTAGGTGGGGTATAAGTGCAGTTGTACTGTTGCAATTGACCTCCAGTTATATCACATAGATTTTTAAATAAATAGATAGATGCAGATAGCAGACTACCATCTTCATCTATAGCTAAACATCTAATCGATATGAACCATAAGACTAATGTCAAAACAGCTTTTAAGGCTGAGGCGATAGCTATTCGTAAACGTAAGCCGCTTGTGTATGGATAAAAGGAATTTGTTATTACTTCTAACCTACCTTGGTAATCCTTATCTGATTAGATAAACAAACGTAGAGTGTTAATTGTTCTTATTATTCTTAAATCCTTTTTGTTACTTTGTATATTTTAATTGGCCTTTTAATTTTTCATATAAATTGGCTCGACAAGTAAATGTGTGTGATCAGATTGTTCATCGCTTTTTTCAGCTAATCTCCATCTTCTAATAATATTATCCAAATTTTTGAAGGGGACCAGCTGTTTTAAATATTACATTTCTTCCATGTATATTCTAGCCAGATTCATGAGTACTCGTCTTATATTACTGTATTTTTGTGTCCTATCTAACTTTATCTCACTTCCTCTAACAGTATGTTGAGATAGATTGTTTTGTAGGCATGTATGTGTAACAAATGTCTCAGTCATTTGGGTCATTTAATATCCCCAAAATAAAGTCTATGGGATTATCATTTTATGAACTGTCATCAGTGAAAACTTCACTCATTAGGTATGATCTTACTTAAATTTTCTAAAAATAAATGTGATACAAAGTGATGTTTTTATCTCAGAATTCGCAGGATTTGTTAATATATATATATATATATATATATATATATATATACATATTGATCCATGTGTATTATACATGCAATGTAGTCTTTTTATGTGAAAATCAAAGCAAGAGACTTATCAACGAATTTATTATCAAGCTGTACAAATGTATATTTATGGTTTTAAGAAATTACATCCGCTGGGGGGGGGTAAAGACACTACAATGCCTAAGGTCCCCTGAACTCCTTTGATATTAGTAGTAGAAAATACGGGGGAGGAGGGGGGTTGGCGAGTCCTTGATCGTAGGTATCTTTGTATTGCTTATCAGTGCTTGCCAGCAAGGCGTGCCTGGAATTGTGAATGAATTGGGATGTACAGCCTGAGTAATATTGATATTATATTTAAAGTGATAAATTAGACAGGTCCGTTACTCGGTAGTGTTACCAGTCATTACTGACTATAATAGTTTGGATACGTAATATGTATACTTGAGGGGCCGCCATTGCTAATGAGAAAACTTGAACTGAACTAGGATAGGTTAAAGAATTAAACCATATCAAATCGAAATATGACATTAATTGAAGTTTATTACTCTTTTCCCTAACCAAGCAAGTAAGTGACTATATTCATCATTTTTAGAAATTTCCAATAAGTGCTAAACGACTTTTTGTGACTGGACACTGTATTATCTCTATGGAACCATGAATTTTTCCCCTCAGCATGTGTACATTTATTTGTTTCCCGTCTGTGTAATTTCTGTTTTCTTACAATACCACTGCTTTTCGATTAAATCTTTGTAGATTGAAAATTAAACTGACGGACTGCTGTGCTGTGTTGTGTTGTCTAGAGGTGTCCATCTTTCAAGAATGCTTGTTTTTTGTGTGTTTGTTTCTTATGTTCACTTTGTTTGTTTACTGTTGACACTGACAAAATGCAGAGTCTTCTTAGCACCTTGAGCAGTAATCTTCGAATATTTGGCATGTGGTCTGTTCCCTTGGTGGAATGTAAGACGATGAGGCTACAGAACTGGACTAAATCGACTCACTTTGAGTTTAAAGATAGGCAGGAGCGAAGTGGTTGGTGAAGCGTGTTAACCACTTATTTCACTTATTTGAGGAGTTGTATCAGCCAACTTCAGTGGGTTGATCGATGACGGAATCTCAGCATGAATACGGAAGGCTAGTTCAGCATACGTCAACCAATCTATGCCATCTCTGGCTTAGTAGACGTGATATCTGACTGTTTGTCAACCAAAGAACGTGTGTACTGCTCAGCACTTTGCACTATCCTCCTTTATTGCTTTGAAACATTACCATTGAAAGTGGAAGACATGAAAAGCCTGGCTAGCTGTCTTTGATCATAGGTGCCTGCATTTGATCTTGTGTTAGGTGTTATAATGTAGAGAGAAATATTGAGGTGAGGCATTGCTTGAATGCTAGGCAAGGAGGGGAAATCATTCAATGAGGTTGTGAAGTTACACCGATTGAGAGAGATTTTTAGGACATGGCTGCCTGTCTAGCCATCACCTTCCTCGACGACGGGAAATGTTAGCTGACATAGGGTTGGGCAAGTGGGAAAAGAGCTAGCACATGATGTTCAAACCAAAACATGACTTCATCAGTCAATCAAATCCACAACAGTTAATTTGAGCCAACCAAGTAGGGAGGTGTAGACTTCTTGGTTGGGGTGAAGGCTGGAAACATGGTGATATCATTGTCAGTGGCTTGCATAGATGCTTCCACTTCTTGTGATTTATAATATCCAATAAAATTATATTGTTTTTTGCTCACTCACACTTGTGTTTATTATTTATGTCTTTTGAATCTCTCTTTACTCTGTTCTCTTGCTTTGTGTGCTACTTGAAGTGTGACAAGTTGAACTGCTGCACATCTGTGGAAAGTTCTATGTTGAAACCAGTCAGTTAGTTAATCAGTATTGTTGACCCAAACAACTTCAAAACAGTTCTTTTACGATAACTGTTATTTTTACTTTAAAGCGATTTTGGCATTTTAGCATTTCAGTGAATTTCAGTTAAATCGCTTTAAGTTAACCTGTTTAAGTAACAGTAAGTTGTGAAGTCATATGGATGGATTCTGCCTGTCATTTATTTAGCTACTGTTTAGAGTCAAAATTATAAATATTTATTTTTGTTACAGAAGGACGCTGACTGATGCACTTTCAACATAGAACTCTGCACATGAATGCACCAGTACAAGTTACCATCCTCCATACAGCACACATAGTTTGAGAAAAAATTGTAGCAAAGAGAAAACGTGAAGGTTTTAATGGATATGACAGTCACAAAGAGTGAATGCACCTTGTTCCTCTGAGAGCGATTTTCAGTCATGTTACCGGTAGTCTTCAGCTACCAGTTCTTAGCATCCCGAGAATCTCCTCCCTACGTAGAGTTGGCTGAAAAGAGCTTCCTACGACTCCATGGGTTGATGCCAAGTTTTGATTTGACCAACTCTAAGGGTAATGAAAGCCTGTCTTGCTTTTCCGATTCTGGCTTTGATATCCTCGTCAGTTCCGCCTGTAGTTGAAACGATGCTTCCCAGTTCGGTAGGTGAAGGAGGTTGTTTCTTTCACGTTCCTCCCATTTATGCTGATTGTAGTCTTTTGTTGTTGTTGCTGTTGGTGTTGGCCAGGAATCTTCATCACCTCTGTTTTATCTATGTTCACTTGAAGTCCTATCTTCTCTGGATGCTTCTTCTGCCAACTTGTTGCTTTTCACTTGCATATCTTCCAGTTTGTGGGAAATCTATGCACTTAGGTTTGTCTATAAAACTTAAAGGATCATTCTACGCCTTTTTGTGTTTCAATTTGTTTGTATTTGCATTTGATTTAATGTATTTTTGAGGCTTTTGTTTAACTTTCATTTTCTAAATTTTTTTTTTCAATAATTTTAGATGATAAACAAGAAGCTGTTTGGGTTGAAGTTATTAACTGTGAAACTTCCTCTCCCTTACGAATTGCCTATTCAAATGTAAAGTCTATTGGAAGTGGTTCTTTCGGCGTTGTCTATTCCGCCACACTGGGGGATAATCGTGAAGTAGCGATTAAAAAAGTTTTACAGGACAAAAGATATAAAGTTTGTTATCAAAATAAAATAATTATTTATTTCATAGAATCGTGAACTACAAATGCTTCGATTATTACATCATACTAATATTGTATCACTGTATTATTACTTTTATTCAACGTCATCATCGGTAAGTTGCTCTTGTGTGTTTGTGTGTGTATTTTCAATCTTATTTTCTTTATTGATTTATAGAAACCTGGTGAAACTTATTTAAACTTAATACAAGAGTATGTACCACAAACGCTTAGTCGTCTTATCAGACATTATTGGCGAATTCGACAGTCAATACCTTTGGTATGCGTTAAGGTAAGTCTGCAGCAAGTCACTGATGGCATTATTATTGGTATTTATTATAACTATTATTGTTCTCTTGCATTCTGAGTACACAAACATAGAGCTTCACTGATTCATTCATCCTCATTCCATCCTGTTCTCTGAAGTCCTTTTTAGTTGGCTGTACAACCTGTCCATAGGCTTTCATCTCCTCCTTGCACGCTCTCTTTGAATATTAACGTCAAATCTACAGTGAACTCATCGTTTCCACTGGAAGGCCTAGGGGGATCAGCCTAATGAACATAGTTTCTAAAATCCTAGACTCAGTAATCATGCATAGACTAAGCAAAACTCGGGAGGAACAAACGAGGGAAAATCAAGCAGGCGTTAGACCAGGTAGAGGGTGCATAGATCATATCTTTACTCTCCGACAGATTCTAGAACATAGACACACTTTTCGGCGTCCAACAATTGCCATATTTCTTGACTTGAAGGCGGCCTTCGACTCCGTGGATCGAAAGGTACTATGGCAATATATTTGACTATGAAGGGAGTGCCAAGAAAGTACATTGCACTAATCAAGGCACTCTATTCAAACTCACGTAGTCGTGTAAGGGCTTATGGGGAATTGTCATCTGAATTGGTAACAACCAGTGGTGTCCGACAGGGATGTCCACTTTCCCCATTCCTGTTTAACTTCATCATAGATATACTTATGGAAGTATCCTTAACTGAACGTAACGACTTAGGAATCGACTTGTTACCAGGGAATAGTCTTAGATGACATAGTCCTGTTAGGGGAAGATGCTGACAAAATGCAGAGTCTTCTGAACACCTTGAGCAGCAATCTCCGTATGTTTTGCATGCGATTCGCCCCTACAAAATGTAAGATGCTGCTACAGGACTGGACTACGTCAACTCCTAGCTTAGTGATACGGAGTGAAGTGATAGAACATGTTGACCACTTCACCTACTTGGGAAGTTGTATCAGCACCAACGGACTGATTGGCGACGAAATCTCACCACGGATCCAAAAACCTCGAGCTGCTTTCGCTGACTTACACCATCTCTGGCGTAGGTGTGACATTCGGCTATCAAACAAGGGACGTGTGTACTGCTCATCAGTTCGCTCCGTCCTTCTCTATGGCTCTGAAACATGGCCAATACGAGTTGAAGACATGAAAAGGTTGATTGTTTTTGATCATAGATGTCTACGCTCTCTTTCTCACGTTAGGTGGTATAATAAGGTAAGTAATGTTGACGTTAGGCGTTGGGTGTTGGGCAAAGAGGAAAAATCAATCGACGAGGCTATAAAGTTACATAGATTGAGATGGCTAGGTGACGTGCTGCGTGCGCATGCCTAACCACCGCCTCCCCCAACGGGCATTACTAGCTGATATAGATGTGCAGGTTGGAAAAGAGTAAGTGAAGGGTGGCCAAACAAAAACATGGCATCATCAATCCATGAAATCCTTGACAGTTAAACTGAGTCGGTCAGATAGGGAGATGGAGACTTCCGGGTTGGGGCCCCCGTGACTGACTCTAGGAATCAATGGCTGGAGACAATAGGTGGTGACATGGCTCAAAATCGTTGTCAATGGCCAGCGGAGATGTATTCAGTCTCTGTAATCTTTCATATTCATTTCATTTCTACCATTACCCATTCTGAATCACTCTTATACTTGTCAGACTGTATTGATTCTCTTCACTCATCTTCTTGTCTACCTTTGTGTGGTATTTGGAACGTGGCAACTCGAACTGGTGCACTTCGGTGGCAAGTTCTATGTTGAATCCAGACAGACGGAGACTGGAAGGCCTGATGCCAGTTTTTACTCAATGAGCTGACTGACTGGTTTCAACGTAGAACTTTGCACCGATGTGCAGCGGTCCGAGTCTCCACAGTTCACTCAAAACACAAAGCCAGAGAAGAAAGTAAAAAGAAATGCAAAGTAGAGACAGTAAACAGAGATATGAAGCAAAAAGAATAGTAATATCGAAGAATATAGTTTCAGTTATTAAGTCACAAGGAGTGGATGCATCTGCGCCAACCATTGAGAACGAGGACTTTGAGTTATGTCATCAATTATCTCCAGCCCTCATTGGTTTTTACCATCCCTAACACCCCAACCAAGAAGTCTACACCTCTATACTGTTGTGGATTTCATTGACTGATGAAGTCATATTTTGGTTTAACCACCACTGAGTCTTTTCCAACCTGACCCATCCTGTGTCACCTAAGACTACCTATCGTCAAGGAAGGTGATGGTTAGACATGCGTAACACATGTCCTAACCACCTCGATCTACCTAATTTCAGAGCCTAATCGATTTATTTCCCCTTCCAACTACCCACCTAGCATTCAACTGATGCCTTCCCTCAATATTGCTTACTATACTGATACCACCTGACACAAGATAGAACGCAGACACTTATGATCAAAGACAACTAGCCTGTCTTTTCATATCTCCCACTTTCAATGGCCAAGTTTCACTCACAACTAAAAAGGAGGACAGGGCGAACGGGTGCTGAGCAGATACACACGTCCTTTGGTGGACAACCAGTCGGATATCACATCTACGCCAGAGGTGGCGTGTGTTGGTTGGCATATACCAAACGAGCCTTCTGTATCCGTGCTGAGATTTCATCAGCTATCAACCTACTGGCACTAGCTGATGCAACTCCCCAAATAAGTGAAGTGGTGATCAATACACTCCACCAACCACTTCACTCCTGTCTATCTTTAAGCTAAGAGTGAGTCGACGTAGTCCAGTCCAGTCCAGTCCTGTAGCCTCATCATCTTACATTTGACAGCAGGAGCGAATCGTATGCCAATCATTCGAAGATTGCTTTTCATCTGAAGATGTTAACAAAATGTATGCATTACGAGTCACATATGTTCTACTTAATTTCATTTGCCGTTTTGTTTTTCTTTATTACAGTTGTACAGTTTTCAACTTCTACGTGGATTAGCCTATATGCATAACCAAGGCATATGTCATCGAGATATTAAACCACAGAATTTGTTGATCAATCCAGATGAAGGTGTACTAAAAATTTGTGATTTTGGAAGGTAAGTTAACGTGGAAAACCTATTCTATGTTGCTATTATTATTATTATTATTATGGTAAAACCGTAGTCTTCTTTGTAAAATGGATATTCACATGCTTATTTAGGATAAAACCAGTTTAAGGTTAATGATCATTTCATACAGAAATTATTTGATCGCTGAACCGTATAATACACATCTGTGTTACAAAATTTCAAGTTGATCTTGAATTATTGTTGAAAACCTAGAGACTAACTGACTGGTTTCAGCATAGAACTTTGCACCGATGTACAGTAGTTCAAGTTGCCACACTCCCTCTATGTAGCACACAAAGTAAAAGAAGAAAGTAAAAAGAAACGCAAACTAGAGACAGTAAACAGGCATATGAGACAAAAAGAATAGTAATAATGAAGAACTGTATAGTTTTATTGGGTATTATAAGTCACGAGGAGTGGATGAATCTGCCACAGCCATTGACAACGATGAGTTTGAGCCATATCACCGATAATTTTCTCCAGCGTTCATTGGTTATTACCGTCTCGAGGACTCCAACCCGGAAGCCAGTCTACTCCTCCCTACGTGGCTGGCTTAACCTAACTGTTGTGGATTTCATTGACTGATGAAGCCATGTTTTGGTTTGACCACCATTCACTGACTCTTTTCCAACCTGATCCATCCTATGTCAGCTAAAATTACCCATTGTCGGAGAAGGTGATGGCTGGCATGTGTGAATAACACATGCCTCCAAAGCCTCAGGATGGTCGGGAGTGGGTGTTTTGCGCTGCGGGTTGGCCACCCCTCCGTACACCTCTTGAAATGCTCCCATATGACTGGGCGTCTTACATAGCCTCTCCTGAGGAAGTCCTACTCACTGCCTTCACGTGGCGGAGGTGTTTTTTTTTCACCGAAGTGAGAGGGCAAAAGCGGATGCCCGGCGCTCTTCACCGGGTTGACTGTCCATTGGATGACAGTCTAGGGGAGATGGCTAAACCCTGATTCCAAACCTCCAACAACTGGCGTATGAAGCTCACCGGAGCTCACCGTCAGACGTATGGACAAAGGGCTTATTGGATGCCCTGGATGTCTGGCCCCATTCAAAAAGGCGTATGAACCGGACTCCGGTCACCGGCTGACAATGGATAGTGGACTCCCTACTCCACTCCTACTGCCTTGTAGGTCACACTTGGTTGTGTAAAGGCTAGAGCTGCACTCTCAAACAAAAGGCCGAGCGATTCTGGGGACATCATTCGTACCCAATCCCCATGAAACTTCATGGTTCATGAAGCCGGCTCATCCTCCCGTAGGAGATAGCCGAAGTAAAGTAAAGTAAGTAAGTCCTAACCAACTCTCTCAATTGGTGTGACTTCAGAACCTCGTCGATTCATTTCCTCTCCCACCCACCTAGCACTCGACCGATGCTTCACTTCAGTATGGCTTACCTTATTATACCACTTCACATGGGAGATAGGACGGAGACCCCGATAATCAAAGACTGTTTGGCAGAGTTTTCATGTCTTCCATTTTCAATGGCCACCATGTCTCACAGACAGCCATAAAGGGGCACGAAGCGAACTTCTGAGCCATACACATGCCTCAGTATATATATATATATATATATATATATATGGCAGGTTTCTATGGTCTGAAAATTTTGCTATCTAAAGTCAGTAATAATGTTTTTTGTGAGCATTGGACAACTGCTTCTCATTGAATATTTGTGAATTGGTGGTTTGGATTTTCATATTTTTTTTACTGAATAGCAAAGAACGAACACATATTTACAGACACGATTATGCAAGCTTGTTTTATGCCGTGGATTCTCTTTCTCTCTTCAGCTGTGCCGTACATCCTAAATAAAATCACATTATAATAGACAAAATCACATTATAATAGAACAAAGCATGGAATGGCAATCAAACCTCTCTGTATCTCAACTTTATAGACTTTGAGAAGGCTTTCGACAGCGTTGACCGCGAAGTAATTTGGAAACTACTCGAGTGCTACGGCGTACCCCAAATATTCATCAACCTTATTCAACAGCTGTACGACAACGGCACATGTCAAGTGATCCACAGCGGAAAACTCAGCGATGCGTTTGGAGTAAACACAGGAGTCAGATCAGGGTGTTTATTATCTATCACCAATGATATTCCTAATTGTGGTGGACTGGATCATGCGTCAGACAGTGGGAAACGAGAAACGGGACAGGGATATCCTGGACCGACGCGAAGAACCTAGAAGACCTAGATTTCGCGCGATGAGGATTTATGTTTGATGTCACACAAAATAGAAGACTTACAGGCGGAAACCGACAAACTGGTCGAAGAAGCAGCCGGCGAAGACAGGACTCCAAGTGAACATAGACAAGACGGAGGTGATGAAAATAACCAAACAACAACAACAGCAGCAGCAACATCCAGCGTCAATCACCATCAACGGGAGGGATTTTAAAGAGGTCACTTCATTCACTTATCTAGGGAGCATTGTCCCAACTACAGGCAGTCGGAACGGACGAGGATGTCAAATCGAGCGAGAATCGGGAAGGCGAGTGAGAAACACATTCATCAACCTGAAATCAATCTGGAAATCTTCGTCACTCAGCCAGCATCAACAACAAAATTCGGATTTTCAATACAAACATGAAGTCAGTCAGTTCTTCTATACGGATCAGAAACTTGGCGGGCGGGTCACAAAGAATATTTCCAACGGCCTGTTGCAGACATTTATTAACAACTGTCTTCGCTGACTCTATACTGAAGATCAGATGGCCGGAAGGATTCACAAACAAGAAATTATGGGAACAAACAAAGCAAGAACCAATCGCCCAACAAATATGCAGGAGAAAGTGGAGATGGATTGGACGCTCGCTGAGGAGACCGCTGGGCGACATCGCGCGTCAAGCCCTCGTGTGGAACCCGAAAGGCAAGGGGCGAGTGGGAAGTCAGTGCAAGGGTGACATGGAGGAGATCGTGTGACAAGGAGTTGAAAGAGTATGAACTAACCTGCATGCAAGTGCAAAGTACAACGGAAGACAGAAGTGGCAAGTGGAGACGTGCAGTTGAAGCCGTATGTTCCACTAGGAACCCAAGGGAGCAATAATAATAATAATAGACATTCAGTAAATAGTCTGTTATGCTAAGCAGCTCATAGAAGCTCTAAGAGGACTTAGAAGTAATGATAGCTTAATTAATTATTAGCAAGCCGGATAAAGGTGATAGTTTTGGGTTTACTGGATAAAAGTGATTACTTTTTTCGAAGAATTGATTTGTAAGGATTATATTTGTTTTTATAAGTTTGATCATGGATTGATATCAGTTAGAGAACCATTGGAAATCAGCCAGGAGTACTGGACAGCCAGCTGTTTCGTCCTAGTTTGGGAATCATCAACAATACGCATCCACCACCAAGGTTTAAACCCAGGCCCATCCGGCTACAAGGCAAGCTATCTCGTATACCATTCAGCCTCTGGGACTCAACTCCTCCATGGCCAACCCATAAATTCTAACCTCTACCAATTCGTGATTCAGCTCGACTGGCACCAACCAATGTCATTGGTGGGAACCCCATCCTCACACTTGACTGAATAGACCTCACTGGTCCCACCGGATGACATTGGTTAGTGGTCTCGCTAAATCACGAATTGGTAGAAGTTAGAATTCATGGGCTGGCCATTGAGGAGTTGGATCCCAGTGGCTGAATGGGATACGAGCTAGCTTGCCTTATCACCGCAATGTTCTGGGTTCGAACCCTGGCGGGGTGGGTAAGTACTGCCGATGAGACCCAAACTAGGATGAAACAGCTGGGGTTGTCCAGTACTCCTGGCTGATTTTCAATGATTCTCTAACTGATATCAATCATTGGTCAAACTCATAAAAACAAATCTAATCCTTACAAACCAAACTCTTGAAAACAATTTTAGTAGTTTAGTGAGTTCAACTTACTGAGTGACAGTCAAAATCAAAATTAAGTAGACTGTTATGCAGAAGAACAAGACATAAGAGCTGTCTACTAATTAACCTCCAACCTCTTTTGAACTCTCCTCCATCATATAATATGCATAAATTCACTTTATTGTTCTATCTTGTACTTTGTCTCTAGTCCATCCTTGTTTCCAAGAGAAATCTTAACTCTACTGCCCCCCCCGGCCCCACTCCTTATCAAATTATGCCATAAATAGTTACTATTTTAACACTGAATACCTTGTCAACTTACATCATAATTTTTTGGAATGATGTTGCTTCTATACTTTCTGTCTATAACTCGAAGTCATCGAGGGAGAAAGTGTTCACACACCATTTTGCAACTTATAATTTTTATTTTTTATTTTTGATTTACAGCTTGATTCCACACTGTATTTTTGGCAGAAGTATGGAATTTTCAGCCCAAATTTTGCAGGCCGAGCATAGATATCAGGTGTGCGTCGGCAGGGAATCGAACCTCGGACCATGTGCATGGTCAGCGAGAGTGCTAACCACTGTGCCACCGACGCACAATTCGATTTTGTTCAGGATGTGCATCCGCGGCACAGTGGTTAGGACGCTCGCCTTCTTTACCAGTCTTATTACTAGTTTAGTGAGGTGAAGGAATGCGTTGGCTGGGGATCGAACGCCAAACCACCTGCGTGGTTTGCGATCACTCTACCGTTGTTTAACAGACTCACCAAGGAGGTTGGAGGCGATTGGCAGGAAGCCTTGGACTTAGGTTTCATGCTAGTTGGCACTCACCAGTCACCAATGCGTATCTGCGGCCTTGAAGGAACTTATGTTCCTCCTGAGATTCGAAGCCGCGTCACTCAGCACTGCAGTCAGAGACATTACCATTGAGCTATTCGGGCTCTAATGTCATCCTATTTTGAATGAAATACTGACATATGTATTGGTCACAACAGACATCATAAAGATTAAGAAAGCATCAAGAAATGTAAAATTATAATGGCTTTCCACTTCTTGGGGTCTCTTCAAAGATGCCTGACCTCGCTTAGGTCGTGATTATTTTTTGCTTGTGGAAAGAGAGAATGCTTTCC